ACAAAAAAGTGAAAAATATAAGTGTATAATTCATTTTAAATCGAAAAAATACGTACTTTAAATAGTTGAAAATTTCAACATTAAACGAGGGTGAATAATTTTTTAAATGGATATATTATATTATATTACAATGACAAAAATGTTGGGGCCACAACTAATGTGATCATCCATTGATCTTTCTAACACCAAGTTAGAAAATTTATTGACAATAAAAAGGGTTTCTAAATAATGTTTGTTGTTAAAATGAGGAATCATGTTGGTTTTTTACTAAATGAGATCAAGGAACACTATCACAAACTCGCCATTTTTAAAATGAATTCGAAGAGGATGGCACTGGCGGGTGGGCGAAGGTTCACTCGGTTGAATTAGAGTTGAAGCAATTCAACGCTGGCAGAAATACGTATCTACCAACATAAAAAGCAAACTGAAATACTTTGAACAAAAAATTCAAATGCCATTCCACATATGCGTGATTATTATGGAGCTGAGGTAGTGCCATATGTCACATTGTTGAGCTGGTATGTGAGAAAATCTGCATATGGAGAAGCTCGCCAAAGAATATAATGAAATTTACCATCAGTTTTATTCAATTTAGTGACAAACGGAAGCGCAGTAGCAACATGTACAGCTCTGTTTGGATCGTTGGTCCAACCCAAAGTAAGTCATTTAGCGATGTTTGAGTCGTAGTTCGGCAAGAGACGTCGCAACTATGTGGATGCGCTTTAAGGTTTCAGTACGCAGTGATGTGGAATGTAATAGTGTGGTTCATCTACGTTCGGCGGCGTTACTACAGATATGTGACTGCTTCGTACTTTTCCATAAACGAGACTTAGTGGGAATTAGTGTCTAGCGTATGTAAAAGACGGCGTTCGATTGCAAGGAATCAGCGATGAGCGATGTCGAATGAGGCTCCAAGTGCAGCGGGATTGTCCTTAAATGGCAGCCTCACAATTATGCGTTCAGTAGTATCTTGATGAGTTATGGCTATAAAGTGACGTTTACAAATCCGATGATCAGGTTGAATAGGTTTGGGTGGCCAGTCATTCAGTTTTGAACTCCCAAAGGCGTTGCATGTTTGTGTCGATAGAGTCTTCGTTAAACAGCAGACATTACTTTGAAAGGGTATAGTGCTTCGACTGGTATCTTCTAGAAACCACCAAGTCAAATAATGTCTTTTGCAATGTAGGTAAATGTTCAAAAGTTTAATTTGACCAACAGCGAGGGCTTCAAAGTATGCTTCTGTTCCAAGCAGATCAATGCGTCGAGGTGGCCGGGATGGTCAAACGGGTTAAGATTACCGCCCCGAAGAACTCAAACACACCACACACAAGACAACACTGGCACACACACCACACCTGGAAACCCCAGAACACCCACATACCACACACAACTCATCATACAGCTGCACACACACCGACTAGGACCTCTATACAACACAAAGTACAAAAATATCTGTCCTCGAAGCGGACAGCCCCTTCTCTCAGCGACTGTCGACTAAAAAACACCGAACTTTGCTTTGGCGCGCGAGTAACCTCATTTTCTTGGCTCGTTTTTTATCATTTATAATTTTTATATTCTTTTATTACCTCTCCACTGGTATGCGACGAGGGAGTGCTTGCGTCAAGATAATCTTTTTATAATTATTCATATTCAAATAAACAAATTTTGTAAACATTTTCGAAACGGAAAAACATAAAATTATAATTTAATTTGCATACGCGGAGTTTAAAGTGGCAAGTAAGTGGTGGTCAAAAGTAAAAAAAATTAGGAGAAGTATTTGAATATAATTGAAACTGTTTAAGTTGATAAATAAAAAAAAGTTATAGATTATTCAAGTAGCTCAAGATCTAAATTTAATAGAATCGAATTTTGTTCCAAAGTAATTATCTTTGACTAGTTATCAGAGGATCTGAGCTCAAAAGTAAGCGGTTAAACAGAGCCTGGTTTGTAGCGACCTGTGAGTTCTTTCTTTTTCAAAGAGGTCTCCAATTAAAACTAATACATATTGAATGACGTCGAGAGCGTGAATTAAAATTTTATGCACTGAAGGAGAAAGATACCAGAAATAATTGGATGTTAGTTCTCTTGCAGTATCTTGAGTAAATTTTCTAAATTTGTCCACATTAATTTTATACCCTGATGACAAGGCTTGCAGTAATGTTGCACAATTTTCAATTAGCTGCTTTTCTATGCCAGTTATTTCAGATAATTGGGCATCATTGAAAAATTTTGTTGCAGAGTTCCCATCATTTGAAGACCCACTGCCACTTGTTTTTGGTTTGTCGACAATTAAAACCAAACCATTTTTTTAAAAAATCGTCCTGAATATTTAGTTTCTTTTTTAGAAATCGATATTTTTCTTCTAGGCCTCTTATTTGCCATTGTCTGATTTCAAGTCTATAAAAATGTGACAAAAATATTAAAAAAAAAAAAAGAAAGTTGGCATGTAACGGAGACAATCCAAATTCGTTGCCATTTCTTCGAACTTCTTTTGTAAGCATATGTCAAAATCGTTCATCTTAGTAGGTTTGGCTTGGCATATGTAACACCGCGAAGATAAGGTTTCAGTAAAGGCATTGCAGACTTTGCCATCCACCATAGTTAGTTGAAGAAAATGATTGATATAGAATTTTCGGTTGGTAGCTGTTTTGAATCCTGTGGGAGTCAATTCTTGAATTTTGTTTTATATATAATTCTCCGTTTATGGTTTTGGTATTACAATCGTAACTTTTTTCAGTCGAAGTTTGATTGGTGTTGCCTACCTAAAAAAATGAAGATTTGACAGGTAATTAAACAGCTGAATATTTTTAAACAATTTAACAATTTAAGGGTAGGCTTTAGAATACTGTCCCAGGATTTCGGATATAAAATGGGCAAGGGCGGATAGAAGAGGTCCTCCAGATCAAGAGTATACCTATATAGATAAAGCCGCGGGAAACTTAAATTTAAAGTATGTATTTTTTTTGATTTAAAAGGAGTTTTACGCAAAAAAAACTTTCTTACACCCCAGTGTTGGACCGACCAGGGTTAGTTTTTTTGGAGCTCGGCCGAAGGCCGCCAACGAAAAAGTTTAAATAATAATTATTATTAATTAATAAAAAAAAAATTTCATAGAGGGTATAACATAATCCTTAACATCAATGTTCTCTAATATTTAATCTTTCTAGTTTTTGGATTCCTGTATTTGCAAAAGATGTAGATAAGGTAACACTGATTATTTGACATTTTGCAACCCTTTTGTTATTGTCAGAACTAATAGATTTGAACGATGATTTAAATATTGAATTAAAGCTATTTTCGCACTACATAATGTAAAATAAATGTGTACAACGAAGTTTCGTTCCGTTACAGGTGCAACAGCGATGCTTCGACGCACACTGAGCTACTCCGTGACCATTGCTCAGAGAAATGATCCAGAGGTAGTATTTCTTGGCGGCATCGAACTTATGGTGTGAGGAAAAGTCGGATAAATGCAGAAACTGACAATGGCGTTCTAAAACTTGGGTGCATGGTAGCCAAGTTGGAAGCGATTTGTAATCTAGCGATTCGTTCCATTTGTTACGAATTTGCAGATCCCATTTATCAAAGTCAATGTAAATCAGCATTGCTTGCGCGATATACGATAACGATTCTAACGAACTGAATATAGCTGATGCCTTGTCAATCAAACTACTGTTGATAAGTTTGATTATGGACTCGACATTGTAACTCCGCATGTGAAGGTTCGTCATCAGAGTCCTTTGATACCTCAACTATAGATTTAATTCGTGATATATTGCGTAAAATTTAATGAATGATAAATTGAATTAATTAATAATTGATTGATATCAGTTATTATTAAATTATTCATACTTATATATTATTATAATTCATATATGCCCTCAATTATATATATAACATCTAGAATATATAATTTACTTACCTGTATTCCGTAAGCTGTCATTACCTCACACAAGGCCTAAGGACGACAACTTACGTACAAGCCGTAGAACTTAACACATCATCCATTTTTTTCTCAACCGAATTACGCACAGCCTCTCTCTCCAACACTTCGAATATTTCAATTCAACCATGACGAAATGCATGTTGGATTAAAATCGGGCATCCCACAGTAGACATGATCCTCTGAGATGACAATCCTTTGCGTATAAACAGTGTGTTAACCGTTAACTTCCGATGGTGTGCTCCAACGACAGTGGTGCGATAGAACATCATTGGCACGTTTCGAAAGATCATCGTTGCCCACCGCGATGACACATCCCTGCAAGGTAATTCAATCTAGAGGAGGCAAGACAATGTAAGTTATTGGTCTTTCCTACCTTAAAGCACAAAATAAGGCAACCTACGTTGGAATCACTATTGGGAAATATCTCAAACGACGCTTCACGATCGCCACAAAATTTATCTTTCTCGATTTTCAGTTCGGACAACACATTGCTGCTCTCGCTCAACTCTTTGATCACATCATCGGTGAAACCCCTCGAGGTTCTGGTGACCCACATAAGCTAAACCTGTGAAAGAGTTATATTGATAACTTTTTATTTTATTAATTTTGTTCCTATATTTGTTAAAGTACGTATTTTATTCAAACCAAATTAATGCCATCCTTTTGAACGTTCAACGGGTTACGAAGTAATCGCCAATTCTTTGGTTATCACTATTGTTGAAAGTAAAAAATAAAAAATAAAACAATAAAAACGCCTTGTAATACCTGCAATAAATAATGGTACCGCTTAAATCAAAATAACAAATAAATTAAATAATAATAAATCAAATGAAACTTATAGTTTTATTTCTATGTAAATGCATGCTAATTCACTGAGTTAAATACACTTTGCGCACATTTTTTCATTTAATTTTCACTTATCGAGTTGATACGCATAAACACAAATATAATATGACAAATTACAATCATATATACTAATAAAATAATAGGTAGACTAATACGATCACCAAACCAAATAAAGTTGGTCACATATAGAAAGATATTAATACTCTACACCACTGAATCGTAACTAAACACGCCCTTTTCAACATACAGGTAGATATGGATACAGAGATGCATTCCACCCCAATGCCAACAATGCGATCGGCCATCACTGTGCCTCGCCTTGGGGTTATTCCAACAGCGACGCCCCGTACATCAGCCGCAACCGCACCGTCAACCACCGCTCGTAGCGGTACACGAGCATCTGCAGCCGTTCCGTCTCCTCCAGAGGCGCCCTATCTCATCCGATGCCCCCTTTGTCGACGTCCACACAAACTGCAGCACTGTGGTCTCTTCAAAGGCATGACGCCGACACAACGCCAGCAAATTGCCCAGGCGCACGGGTATTGTCACAATTGTCTGGCACATACACACACGACGCAGGAATGCGACTCCGGGGCTTTGTGCCAAATGTGTGAAGGCAGCATCACACGTTGCTTCATCGTACCCCGAGGCGAGAGGTCAGTCGGCAGCCTGCCACACGAATCCGTGGCGCAAACCGACCGCAGCAAACCAATCGTGTGGCACGTCGCTGAAGAACGGTACCCCGATCTGAGTCCCGTCCATGGCGTCAGCAAAACATCGCACCTACTAGGCGTAGGCCGAACTATCGCCGCACGTCCGGACTCAGCAACGTTGTAGCAACGTTGCAACAGTTACAGCGACTGCTAGGCTGAACATTCGCCTAGGGGGNACTAATAAACACAATACTTAAATAATAACTACAACATTACATAATTATAAAAGTACATATTAATACTATACTTATACTTAAATACATGTCTCATACTAAGGAAAGATAATGTTCTTGTGATATTTTGCAAGTATTTAATGGTATTAATTATTGAACTCATTATTTATTTATTACAAGGTCAAGGCATGTCTACATTATTTTTTTAAACTTTAAATAACATCGTACCTATGAAAATAGTTTGTATGCGACACTGTGTTTATTAAACGAAGATTGGCGGCGACTCGGAGAGTAAAAGAAATCGGCGCTGTTTAAACAAAGTCGGCTTCCTTTGTCTTCGGCGCGCACCGCCACCGCTGCGGACCTGCGGCCTGCGTTTGCTGTCAATCTAAGTACGAACGTGAACGATGCAACACGTTTATCCGCGCAGATTTTTCCATCTCGCGTTTAACGCAAATTCGTTAAATAACAAAATCAGAAAACTATTTTCACTGCTATTTATTACTATAATCGATCCGCGATGGTTATTAACTTACAAAAAGTGCACCAGCGATTGTTTTCTGCTGTGAAGAGACGATATTTTGATAAAACCCCTCAAGCCGCACAAAAGCTTTGCGATGAAATATGGCATAAACTGAAGAGTGAATTTGACCCAAAGAAACAGCGGACGGAACTTGCTAATGCAGCAGAAAGGAAAATTTCGGACCTACTAAAAGATTTACCGGCCATCAGGGAAAACAAAAGCAATACGTCTGTTTTTTCACGACAGAAAGTAAGTCAAAAATTACTCATATTGTAAAGGTAAAAAAAGATTTGATTGTTTGTACTAAAATATACTTAGAAACTACTGGACCAATTTAAAAAATTCTTTTACCTTTACAAGCCGACATTATCCCTGATAAACATAGTATAATAGAAAACTATTGTGTGGTTTTATGAAACCACGGTAAAAGTGAAACTTATTTTCATATCGTAGACATTAAATTAATAATTTTTGGAATAATATTCTATTAAGGGTATTGAAATGGCATGATCATTAAAAGCTTTGATAACATCTGAAAAGACCAAGCGGTCGCACATATGCTCATATATATATAAATATATGTATATAATTATGTGTGCATCTAAACAAATATGAAAGAACGCATACTTTATGTATATCTGTCTACCTACAACATATGTACATATGTATGTAAATATGTATACTAATTGCTTCATGCGAAATCTCACGTTTTTTTGGTTTCATTTCAAAGAATCAATGTGTCGAAGCCAAATTTATAGTAAATCACACAACAACAACATTTTCATTCATGAACGCAGGCTTACTCTTAACAAGCGAAGTTGACTCATTCATAAAAGTAAACGTTATACACATCTTTCCGAGCATGTGTTTGCCCACAAGCGTTTTTTCGCGACGATGGCAAAAGCTAAAAATCATAAATTGAACAACTTTCTGATGTTCCTTCTTGAAAGGAAAAGTGTCAACCCGGCAAACGCAGGAAAAAGTGACAAAAATGGCAACATAGCTCTTGTCGATTTAAAATATTTTACAATTTTAAAATATTTTTATATGGCTCGCAAAAATCTGCGTCGATATACATATATGCATGCTCATACATAAACATACATATTTACGATGGTTTATTGGCAAAGCTGTTAGAGCGGCAAGGGAGCCCTCAGCAAGGGTATGCGGTCAACATTTCGGATGACGACATTAAAGGGGCTTGCCAACAGAAAAGGGTTCATCAAACTCTATCATCTGATGAGGATGAAAGCAGCACTACGAAGAAATCGCGTACCTACAAGGCCCACGCAGAAGATGCAAGCAAGACTTGCATAGCTGCATTGCAAGTAAGCAAATTGGAACAGTCCGAAAATCGGGGACTACTGACTGAAAGTGGATATGCTGAGCTTCAGGAGACGAAGAAATCAATAAAAAAGGAAACTAAGAATTTAGAGAAACTAAAAAGTAACCAAAAAGCATCAAAAAAATATAGGAAAAAGAAAAAAGAAGCTTTTCAAGCTTTGGTAGCTACAAATCCTGGAGCAGAATCGATAATAACTTTACACGAGCATCCCGGTCGCCCACGGCTGGAAAATGAAGACAATTTAATAAAAACTATTGCCGAAATCGCCATGTATGGAAGTTCAGTGGATAAGAAACGTAGAAGCGAGATAATTCGTTCTTGTCGCACGTTGGATGACCTACACAAAAAGCTCACTGATGAAGGTTTTGCTTTTGAGATTTCCCTACATATTTAAGACTCATACCCCGCAAATCCAGTTCATTTGAGGGTAAAAGACATGTTAAAACAGCTCCAGTGCGTTTGATTCGAGCTCAAGAAGATTATCATAAGTCTCACCCAGATACTGCGTTCTGCGTCGCTTCCATCCGAAGACTGGAATGTCTTGCATCTCTGATTGGAGATGATTCAGCGTTTATATCTCAGGACGACAAAGCAAGGGTACCAATCGGCCTAACTGCTGCTAACAAGCAAGCATCGTTCATGATGCATGTGGACTATTTAGTCCGCCTACCAGACCATACCTTCGTTGTCGGACCCGGACACAAGTTGATACCAAGTGTCTATGCCGGATGCCGGGTTAATGAAACAAAGCCGATTGGCCAGCCTGACGGAGTGTCCTATAGCGGCCCAACATACATAGCAATTAGGAGTGGAAAACACTCGTCTTCAACTGCAGCAACACACGCCCAAGACTTCGAGAGATTATTGACTCTTGACAACTTTAAGAGTATTTTGAAAACACCCTCGGGGGTGGTGAAGCCAGTGCTGATTTTCACTGTTGACGGAGGTCCTGACGAAAATCCCCGTTACCAAAAAGTCATTGCCTAGGCTGTGCGACATTTTTTGGACCGCAATTTGGACTATATTGCAATAGCATGCAATGATCCTGGACGCAGTGCGTTTAACCGTGTTGAAAAGAGAAGGGCACCACTCAGTCACCAGCTTGCAGGATTAATAATTCCACACGATAAATTTGGCAGTCATCTCGATACCCAGCGGCGCACTACAGACGTCGATTTAGAGAAAAAGAATTTTAAATGTGCTGGGGAAACGCTTGCTAACGTTTGGAACGAGATGGTCATAGACGGGGAAAGCGTAGTGGCAGAGTATATCTGTCCAGATAAACCAGATCCGGAGATTGGCACCCATCCTGGACCTGAATGGTACACCAAGCACGTTAAGGAGTCTCAATATATGTTACAGATTTCCAAATGCTCAGATCTGGCTTGCTGCACAATGTCACGTAGCAAATTACGCAAGATCCTCCCTGATGGATTTATGCCGCCACCCCTGCTGCTTACATCAAATCTGGAAGCAGCGCCTCCTTTAAAAGAGGATAGCACTGAAAGTGGATGTACCTCTTGGACATTTTAAGAAACTTCCATATGACTTCTACTGTCCTACGTTACAAGGCGAGCTAATAGAAAGATGCTGTTCGAAATGTGGTACTTACTTTGCTTCAAAAACCTCCATGAAGGAGCACAAAAAAAATATGAAAGATTATGTACACGGTTCCCCGGATCAGGTATTGTTTTACATAGGTACAAAAAAGTATTTTAGCGATAAAGTGCTTATAGTCTTTTTTTGTTTCAGTGTTTATTGGAACAGGAAACAGGACGTCCTGCGGCCCCTCGTCGTAGTGCTCGAATCTTGGGACGGCGAGGAATAGAAGTCCTTCAACAGTTGCATGACGGCGTAACGGGACAGGCACTTGACGTTGAGTGGGTTGAAGACGTGGATGAATCGAGCCAAACCGAATATTAAGAAATGACGATAGGATGATTGGGGGGGGGGGGGGGGGGGTTGGGTCTAAAATCTGAAAAAATCGATGACGTAATTTATGGACGGCCCCTTTCGTTGGGAACTGGTACATAATGCACATGCCGATAACGATAAAGTTCCGATTATCCAATAAGAGTGATATGATGTTTTTTTTCATAAAAAAAACACATACAATCGATAAAATTTAGTTCTGAATATTGGTCCACTTCTTCTGAAGGAACGTATTCGATGAACCCAATTTTCGAGAATTTTTTTTCACTAAATTAACTCGTATGTCATGAATATCACTTCAATATTGACAAATAAATTTCAAATAACCCCACACGAAGTAGTCTAATGGTGTTAAATCACAACTTCTTGGAGACCATTCAATGTCACAATATCTTGAAATTATCGAATCTTGGAGATTTTTTTCTCGCAAGAATTCGGTTGTTAAACGTGTTGTGTAGCACGTTACCCCGTCTTGTTGGAACCCGATGTTGTCAAGATCAACTTCTTCCAATTGCTCTAGTAACGGTGTCACCAGCTTTATTTCGAAAGAAGTACGAACCGATGATTCTACCAGACCAAAAACTACATCAAACTGTCAATTTAGGTGAACGTAATTGTTGTTCGTGAATAATTGATTGATTTTCTTCGCACCAGAATCGACAGTTTTGCTGACCGCACCACTCAGATGAAAGTGAGCATGATCAGAGATGGTTTTCTTTGAAAATTCGTTATCGTTTTCAAGTTGTTCCAAAGAAAAATCAACAAATTCACGACGTTTACGGTGGCCCAATGGCTTCAGTTCTTGAGTGAGAGCAATTTTATACGGATGCAAGCAACAGGATCCGTCAGCTTGTGGTTTGAGACATTCCCAATTTTTGAAAACGTCTTGGAATCGACAAATTGAGGTTTTCAGCAATATTTGTCTGAACGGCAGCAATATTTTAATTACTTCGAGCAGTTCTTTGTCTTATTGGCAATTGAACATAATGCAAAGAAAATGTACGCTCAAAATTTTCATCAATTCGGTAAGTAGCGAGCACAGCTGAACGATTATTACGACCATAAAAAGACAAAAGCGCACGAAAAATTGCAATAGGAGAACGATAATTTTGATAATAAATTGAAAAATTTGTAAACGTTGTTTTTGCGTA